TCGCGCATATGGGTACGCTGACATTACAGTAGGGGAACGGTATAGAGGAGCGAGCATCTGGAAGCGAGAACGGCGGTACGAGAACATGTAGTCCAACGCCCGTGTGGGATATGAATGGAAAGCCTCAAGGGAAGGACAATGAGCAGCTTCCTACCCTAAATTCACGTCGAATAATCCGTTCGCTAAACCCGAATAAGAGGGATAAGGAGACTCCGGTCCGAAAACAGATTGGGCGACGATATTCCTGTGCATCAGGTATTCCGCGGAAGCGCATCAGAGAAAAGCCCTCTGTGCGAATGTAGAAACCAAGGAGAGGGGATCGTCTATTGCTGTCGTCCCTTTCCGGGGGAAATTGTCCAGGATGACGCTCAGCAATCGCGGGGATCCATCCCATCCGCTAGGAATCGTATCGTAAAGTTGACAAGGAAATGTCCTGGATGCGTTTCTTCCACGCTCACTCGCGACGTGCCACAACGATGAGGTACCTCAAGCGCGGTCCCGGCACAGACAACTCGCTCATTGATTCCGGAACTTCGCGGGAACATCATCCGGGTCCCGGAATCCGCCATGAGAACCCCAGCTCCCATTGATCCCCTAGTTCACTGTCTATCAGCCGTCCGGCCGATTCCGAAATGAGCAAAACTTGAGAGCAAGGCAACACGGTACCAGCGAATGCAGAGCACGTTGCCGCACGCTACGGAATGGTACGCCACGAGTCGAGCGTATTGTATGATAGCACGCTAGCTAGACCGTGCGGTCTTCCGAGGAGAACGGACATGCCGAAGATCCGGCAAATCGCTAACGATCTTTTTGTCTGTCTGAACCCACAGATGCCCCGAGATATCATCGGTAGCCTTCAAAACCCGATATATACATATCGCAGAAAGTCTCGACTGTACCCCGTTTGTGCACGCCCGAGAACCTCGATATCGAATACACCCTCTACGATCTTGCCATGAGTCCACAGTTACTTCCGCATCTTTCGCGTCACGCTCATGCATCCTGGCCCTCGCTAGAGCCGCTCCTCTCTCAGTCAGGATACGCGACATGAGGTCCAGTGGAGCGTGCAGGGTCAAGTCGGGCTCGCTTGGGAACGACCACCGCATCCCTCTTACATATCATGCAAGGACTTGTTCCACCAGATTGAAACAGCAGCTTCACGGTGTATTCGTGGTCACTTCAGGCTGAGGGGCTTCGTATCACAAGGATATATCAACCTTTGTCTGTTTCGCGGGTGGGCCCAACCCCTGTCCGCCCCAGACCTCTGGTGAAAACGCTTGCCAAGTCTTTATTTTCATTCCCCCCGCCTTGAAGCGGGCCGGCAGCAGGAGTTCGGCACCGTTGAGCATTCCACTGGTGTCCCCGGTCGTTGACTGGGCTTCAGAAGCAACGATCCAGGCGTCCGAACGGCATGAGCGGGGAGAGCGGCCCGGGGCAGGTGGGGAGTCGTCACACGGCTTAGGGCGATCACTACCAGGGCGGAGTGGCTTGGCCCGACCCTGATCTCTGGATGACGGTGTCGCGCGCGCGAAACAGTGCAGGTAGTTCGCTGTAAGCTGACGGAACAAGCGGCAGCCAGTCGACTGGCTGTCTGACTGACTGGTTGGCCTCTCGGTTCGCTGGCATAGTGTCTGTTGAAATATGCACACGGGCAATTTGGAGAGCGACAGCGTAGGCGATGATGTATGAGCGAGGCTCAAGGGCTTCCCAGCTTGCTGGTTCGCTCCTTCACCGCTCGCCCCCTCTCAAAGAGTTGCATCGAGAGAAGTGGGCACAGAGACGAAAACCCCCACGGAACTATTCTGCTCTCATACCGTTTTTTGGACGAGAATCCCCCGTACCCGTCAGCGGCTGCGCTCAATGGAATTCTCTGACACTAGCTGCATGGCAATACGTCAGTCAGTCAGAGTCGCACTCCTGTACGTCTCCTATATCCATCCTCCTCCCAGCGACGCCGACGTAGACGTAAGCTCATGAGAGCGACTTTTCCTCCCCCGGAATCAGCTCGACGCCGACGAGGCGAAATTAGTCTTCTACTCCCATCAAGTTCTAACACACATATGGAGGTTTTAGAGGAGCGTGTTGAACGAGACTGCCCAGAACAAGAGGCACTTTCCAATTCCGTGGACAATTTCCGCACCAGCGACGGTCTAGGGATCGGATGGGCTCGGGAAGTCCGTGTGTCGTGTGGGAGAGCATTTCATTTTCATCGTAGCCAAGCTCCCGCACCGGGGTTTTAGGAAGCCTTCAATCGTGCACGGTGCTCTGACGACGATAGGAAGTGGGTGTACCATGAGTATGAATTTCCTCGCGCAGACTATACGCGGGCTCCGAAAATTCGTGAAGTCGAGGTCCGGTTCCAAAGTGGGCGGAGACGTCATCGTTGACGAAGCGGTTGGTGGAGTCCGAGGGCTTCCCCATCGAGTCGAATATTGAGGACGCAAAGGTTGAGCAGCGGATAAGTCGTACTGTTTCACGGGATCCAAGGGAGACTGCGTGGACGGTGGAACTCGTAAGGGCTCGGAGGCCCGCCGCTCGGAGCAGAGCTCTAATAGAGGCTGGTGGGCTTTTAGGCGGAGGCGATGCTTTTGATTTCCTCTAAGGGCGAATCTGGCCAGCTCTAATTGACTATGAAGCTGACTGATTGGGAGTGGGTGAAGGATGGGATGCGAGGAGAGAGCGCCGCAGCTCGTTCAGTGATTAGGAAACAACAAAGTACCGAACCACGGAATGAGTCTTCGAGCGGAACTCTCTGCAGCCGAGCCCGAGCGGAGCCTCATAGACTCGAATGCTGCCAACCGGACTGACTACAGACGTGCGGGCTCATTGCGCCGTCGAGATCCGTTGAAATACATCGCTGGGTCCATCCCCGCCCCACATTGCCCCGGAAGGACGGTTTGTTGGCATTTTCGCACCAAAACTGTTGATTCACTGTCCAGAGAGTGCGTGTGGAGCGCTCCCCCGGGACGATTCCCATTTCGACGCCTCCCCATCTTGCTGAAAGATCCAGCGCATCATTAGGTTTCGCCTCTGTCCGTCGAGCTTGCTCCGTCCTCGAAAACGTCGACGATGGGCTCGTTGTGCCGCAGCGTCTGAATCCAGAAGTTCATCAAGCAGACGGATATTGGGGACAGAGGATTCCGAGCGACGAATCGAAATGATTAATCACATTCTGGGAATTTCGAGCGGAACCTCTATCGCTATTCATCATTCCGATTGAAGCCGAAGATCTTCGGAGAAACGGGAAGCTCCTATTCCATTCTTCTCTGTCATCCTATTCTTCTCTGTTCTGTTCTCGATTCTGATAACACCGAGTCTGACGTTTCTCTTGACTTCCTCCCGAAATCACTCCCGACTCCTTCTGGCTTTCTAATTCAAGCTCGAAGTGCGCTCGAATTGATACCGTCTCGACGAAGCCGTGCACTCCTAAAGCGTCCGGTCGTCCTTTTCCGTCGAGCTCCTCCGCCGGAGAATTCTCGCACTCGTTTTCGACCCATTCGCTCCTCATTGGCAGCGATCAATTAGGGCATCTTCCCCGAGAAACAACGCTTGCTGCTGAGACCGCCTCCAGTGGAACAGCCTTCGGGCCCAGAGCGCTTTAGCGCAGACAACTGAAGAGATCTCCCCCCATGGAAGCACGAACTATATAGATGGTCGCAAACCCGCTCTTGCTCGCCTCGTAGGCTTGCTTGGGCTGGCTTGGCTCGATTGATGGTCGCCTAACCGGCCAGTTCGCCCTCCTCGCTCAGGACGCCTGGCTCGTGAGAGGGAGCATTCCGTGGAGAGGGTTTGTCGCAGAGAAAGGGAACGCAGGAGTGCGAGAGTGGAGATAAGAGTGTGTAGCTCTCTTCCCCACCGGGACTCCTTTCCCTTGGAGAGCGCAGATCCGTCGACACTCGGCACTCTGCGGCCACGCCGTATGTTGTGTATGAATGTTGTGGCTCCGATCGCGGAATGAAATTGTGTCGAGCGACCGCGTGCTTGCCGTGGAACACCTCCTGAACGTGTCCTTAGGAAAAGATCCGCCGAGTCGAGCAACTTTGTCCCAGCAAGCCGAGCGGCCCGATCCTTAGAAAGCGTGGCCGTCGTCCTTCATTTGTTCTGGTCGTGGATCGGGGAGAGTGGGTCGTGCCGTTGGAATGGCTGCCGTCTCGATCCCCTCCAGGGTTCTCATTGTTGATCTAAATGTGCTCAGTCTGTCTGATCGTCGTCTTTGAGCGAATCAGTTTTCGGCAACCCGGGCCGGTCTCCGATACCGCCAATGGCCCATGACGGCGGGAGATGATCTCTCGGCGATGCGAGTCGTTGACGCGCGGGAATCACTTGCAATTGCGCCTATCGTTCTTATCGGCGACGACGACGATCGCGGCAGGAGCAGCAAGAGCAGCAAGCAGAGGCGACATCAACAAGCGAGCGTTACGTCCGCTGAGCTTTCCTTGCGCTGTCGCCAAAGCTGCCGGTCCGGAACAGCTGCCCGAAAGTCCAATCCACACGTGTGATTGACGAGGACATCTGCAACATCTGATTCACCTGCTCCAGTCCATTACGTTCTTGGATACAGAGATTTTGGATACAATATCGGCCGAGAAGTTGCGTGGAAATTATCCGGAGAAGAGCAACGGCAGAAGTTCCCGGACCGAATGAGAATTCTGTCGAGAGGGTAGAAGAGAGCAGGTGCCGGACACCCTGAGAAACATCGAGTCCGCCCTCAGCTGTGAATATCTGAGCGAAAATCAAATTCCGTGCTCGTGGGCCGCCCGCTGAGCAGCCGGTCGGACAAATCGCCCGGATAGTTTCGGCCACTCAGAACGCAAACGGCCGATAATAATATAATATTAATTACCATCATCAAAATAGAGGAATAAGGAACTTTCTTCAGTGTTGTTTGCGAGGTTGCCATTGTGGATACGGTGCTGCGATGTGTGACTGGTCTGCCAGGAGCGTGGCGGACGACTTGCCTCCAGGGCTGGTGCGTGTTCTACTACTACTGTTAGAATAACATGTTGTCAGTGGTTCGAGTGGTGCATCCCGAGCTTCGTCTGGATACGATGAGTAGTCATGTCGTCCATGTTCTGTGCTCGTTGTCTGTGAGTCTCTGGTTAGTTCTTCTTCTACTTCTGGGATCAACCGCCGTCGATCAAGCCTCTGCTCATGAAGGCCTCCACATCGAACAGGGTGAGTACACAACATCATCTCATGCCGAACCGAAACCGTCGGGACTGCGGCGGCATACCCCGGAGGAGCCGAAACGAAGCCTCATAGGGCGTCCAGGGACCCACGTCGTGCTCGGATTCCGCCAGAAATAAGAGCGGAGCAGCCGTTCGGGTCGAGTACCGACGGAGGAACACCGAGAAAACCTCAGAGGATTCAGAAGAGGGTCGTGTATGAGGGAGCAAGTGGGAGCGGGGCTGGAGCATCCCGGAATCTCTCGGTGACTTGGGGCATCGCCCACAGCGGCTTAGGCGGAACGATCGCTCTCCATTGTCGTTCGTCAACGATCTGGGTTCGCACATGTTCTACGGCAATTTTGTCGTCCCTCTCGGAGTTCACGTATCAGTTGGCTGACACAGCACCGGCCGGGCACATACAGCTGAACTCTGATCGCTTCCACGCACGATCAGCTCACTTTGCGCTTCGGCCAAATCGACCTCGCTCTCGAATCTCCTCGCTCGACAGATCCCGGGAACCGCGGCTTCCGATCGACATTTCCTGGTTCCCTCGCGCTGAGACGCAAGGCTCTAACAGATGGGAACGCATTCTGAATGTGGCCGAGCTCGGGTCGCGGTCAGTATCGCCTCGTCATCTGCATCGTGCTCAGCTGACGTTGTAGGCGAGTAGTCATTCGGTCGACCAAGTCCCGAGCAAGACACAATTCTCCTAGCTGTAGGCTTCGAGCTCATTATGACAGTCATATCTGTTTCCGTTCCGACTCGTTCTGCCGTCGAGAGGACGCCCGGGGCGGTGTCTGTTCAACATCTATGCTCATGCATCCACGCACTTCTCGTCTACGAGCACAGTGCAGCCGAGACGCATGGACGCGATGCTCCTCCTACAAGCAACATTTACACGTACCATCGATTCAATAAGAGACAATCGACGTGGACCGACTCAATTTTGCGATTGGTGTAGAGCAGGGGAATTCACCATCACCTTGAAGGTAAGAGTCAGGAACAAGGATGCTGATGAGCAGGACTCTGATTCCGTGGGCGGCCCCCAGGCCCCGCGGAGACAAACCGAAGTAGATTGAGCAACGGAGAGTTTTTCGGAGATGCTGTCATCTCAGAACTCGGAACCTCCCGACTGGACGAAGTCTGAGTTCAGTTCGAAACCCCGTTCTCGGATAGTAGACTTGGGTTTCCTGTTCGTGGCTCCCGCTTCCATCGCCTGAGAAGCACATTAGGCCTGCTCGACGGAGCAGCCTCGACGGAACTTCAGCGACGATGTGAGAAGCCGCATTGCATCAGAGCTTGAGTGAAACGTTACCGGGGAACGCGACGAACAACAACATTCGATGGATTCACCGGAAGCCTCTCTGCTCCCGCTTAGCGAGAAGCGCTCACCCACCGATGCCGGATCCTGCGTATTCCTCTGCCTCCGTTCTCGTCTTCGAGGTCAGCCACCCTCCTCGGTGGAGTTCTCAGCGTCGAGCTCCGGAGGAGCGGTGCATGGCGCACCGAGGAATCATTTTCGCTCGTGGGAAGAAATTACCCTTCTCCCCTTTTGCTGTTGCTGTTGTTGTTCGGTGGCCGCGGAGCTGCTCTTGAATTATGATTTCAACGAATTGAGCATCCATGATATAGAGGCAAATCTCCAAAGGATTTCGGGTGGAGCGATCGGATGTGGGCACCATTCACATGCTCCTAAGCGATCTCAGTATATTCGTTGGCACGTTGCGAACACTCGAGGAAGCGGAATCGAGACAGCATTTTTCCTCCTTGTCTGGCAGGCTCCTCGTTTATATTGCTGAATCTTCAGTGTACCGAAATGGAGTTCATTGTGCGTAAATAAGTTCCCCCATTCGCGAGCGGGCCAGGCGACCGGGAAATGAGGATCAAAGGCTCTCCTCCCTTCGTCGTCGACTCCTCCACCCCGTCGCATAAAGCCAGCTTTATTAGGCAGCGCGCCCTATTCCGGACTCGAATCCGCGCCCAAGCCCACAGCACTACTTAACCATGTAGATCCACACTCGTTCGAACCCACCACTCACACGCGCGTATCCAGTGACTGGGCATCTAGCATCTCATCTACTTCGCGAGCGAATCCGCTCGAACGACGCGCGGATGCCGCGATTGATCTCACTCGACTACCCAGTCACTCCTCGATCGACCGGAATCGAGAGAATCTTCCAATTCGAGATATCTGCTTGCTCAGCACGCTCTGGCGAAAAAGACGGCCTCAAGTCAGATACGGAACGAGCTTGGAATGGAGGGCGGGGACAGAAACGGTGGATCATATCGGGCTCAATATCGGAGGTAGAGACGCTTGACAGGAGAGGAATATCGAATGCGAGGTACGAAAAGTTCCCCGGAATAGTCTGCGGGAATGAAACTCACGGACAAGAGAAGATTGGGCTCGCCGTGTTAATTTTCCACTCGGAATCCCCTGTCCGCGAGAGGATGCTTGGCCGGATCTCCGCCTGTGGCCTGGCGGCATCTCGACTAGCCTCTGATTCGAGCGCAAAGTGGCCATGTGTTTGTTATACTCGCCAAATATACAGTTCCAGTTCGCGGGACGCATAAAACGATGCAGGGTAGCCGAGCCGAACGTGTGCGAACTCCTGAACGATCTGATCTTCGCCCGCTTCGGCGACCATTCCGCCCTTTCTGAGCACCAAACTCGCTCGCTTGCTCAGTCGACAGCGAAAGTGGCGGTAGCGGCAGCAGCAGTTCCGTGATAAATCGCCAAGACGCCTCGATGCCGATGGCCTCCATCTTTAGTCGTGCGGCATGAGGCACACATATGTATGTGGTGTGATGTTGATGTCAACCCATATTATCCAAACCCATATAATCGAACTGCATGGAAGAGAATGCTTTCGACGGCCAAGGCGCTTCGTCCATCTTCTCGTGCACAGTATGAGCGTCTTATGAGCTTGGTTGTTACCGAGCCGAATGCAAATTAAGTCCTCGCTCTTCCCGATAGGAGCTCGTGTTCTACTTTGATATTCTCATCGTCAGTCCCTGCCTCTTTGCTTGTCTGCTGCACCCGACGCCGAGTGCCTCGGCCACTCCAGGGCGAGGGCAGAGTGAATATAAACCGATAGCTCGGCCGCTTTGGGGACTCCGCAAGCTTTCCTGGCCGGCACAGGACACTTCGGTCGCCCAGTCAGGCTCATGCTCCGACTGCAGCAAGGGTTGGATCAATTCTATTGGTTCGGATAATCTCTTAAAGTCCTTGCGGAAGGGGTGAGCCCGTGAGCCTCGATCACCACTTCATTTGGATCGAATATATTACGCGCGCTCTAACCGTTCCAGTTTCGGCCAGGGTGGAGCTTTGTTGACTCGAGATTGGAAACGATAAATATTGTGTTAGGTAGTGGTAGTAGAAATAGCAGTATATTTATAGGTATCGGCCCGGCAAGTTACAACATGGGAGAGGAGTGCCTACGGAATTAGTTTGGATCTCCTGCTCCGGCCCCCACCGAATAGCGCGTACCAGGCCGTTGACGACGTTCCCTGCGTCTACCATCATCACTCACTGTTCGAGCTCTATAATACCCTTGCACGTAGGTCACTCTGGAGCTGCGTCGAGTTTCGTTCCCCGAGTCAAATGCGACATTGAGGCAACTTATCGGAGCATAAACTTTGAGCAGAAGCAGCAAGGCACGCGATATACTTCCCGTCGAGTTCATTGAGTCGAGCAGGCGACATCCGGAGTTCGGAGTCACTTAGAAACTCGTCACCCAGCTCTCGGGAGTATATAATCCCCGCCAACCACCGTAGTACGCGATTATTATCCCTTGCGCAATTCGAGGGGGATGAACCTCAACTACATACCATCCTTGACGACCTTGATTTGGCTCAGAACGATAACGAGATTGAACCTGTATCGAATTCGATTAGAGGACTATAGAGGACGATACGAACTCCGGCTCGGGGAGTCATCAGAGATCCATAATAACTCTACAATGTATCATATTTTATGATTCCGCGACAGGCCAGGCGAGCCAAAAAGCCAGATGGGTTTTGCTTGGGACAGTTCTCCTCCCAGACTCAGCGCCACTTATCGCGATCTTAATTCGGCTTATAAGATGGGGTAGCTTGAAAGATGATATTCAATGCGCACAGAGTGGAACATGCGAGGGTCCCGGGATACGCGATGGTCTTGCCGACGACATCTCAATTGAACAACGTAACTAATGGAAGTTTAATGAACGAGAGTTTCTTAAGACGAGAAAGGGTCGATAAACGGCGGAGGAGAGACGAGAGAGAACGGCAAGGACTAGCGAAAATATTCAAATCTCGAAGGCCATTATTTCAAGCGTGTGTTATTGACTTGGCGAGACCCCCACAACTCCGGCGGCTGGGCTGATGAGGGCCACTCTGCCGGCTCGGGTTATCCCTTACCAAAGGTCCGAACAATCCAGCGATAGTCTCTATGCGCACAGTGATGAGCAATCAATCAGCGCATCATATCATCATCACCGTCGTCATCTTCAGCGTTGCCATCATCGATATGTTCGTTAGACCATCCAGCCGGACACGAGGCCGAAACCAAGCGATCGATTGGTCCATCGAACTGATAACGCCGCTGCTGCAATGACGATAGCTGCGAGCTTGCGTTCCAGCTTGTTTCCCTCGATGTCATGCTGAATCTGATTCCCGAAGTTTTACCGAACCAGATCGAACGATTATTCCAAGCGGGAAACGGGGTGTAACTTCAAACGCTTTATTTCGAGCGTAATTGTCGATCGAGGCCTGCCTCGTGCGTGAAGAAGATCAAACTTCAATGGGGGGGAAGGAGAGGCTTTGAAGCATGAAAGGCACCATTGCCTTCGTCAGCGATCATCTTCTTTTGCTCCCCGATTGAGCCTTAAAATATCCATCTGAATTTTGACGACGACGGAAATACAAAGTTCAGCGCACTAATCCCAGTTAATGAATGACGAACTGAAGAGCGATCTTCCGCGCTCTCGGCACTCCCATCGGTCCCTACATTTTTTCTCTCCGGCTTCC